TGGCTCTAACTGTCAGCTTCATCTGTAATGTGAAGGATGAGTAAGTCCACTAAATTGTTCCGACTAGTTTAACATGCAGTTCTCATAGTAAATGAATCTTAACTTCAGATGAAAGTCAGCATGAGCCTTTTCTTGCTTTTGGTAGTGAAAAAAATAAAAAAAATATCAAGGAGCTCACAAAAAAGCAAGTACAATAATCTGCTAAATTCCCCTGGAGTTCTGCATTCACTCTCAACTAAAGGAGGATGAGAAGAGGCATTTAAACTGGGCATCTGCTCTTTAAAAACTTCAAATTTCTCCAAGACATGGCAGAGGAGAGGGGAGCGGGTGGGTATGTGTCAGGTGTGGGGAAGAGTATACTGAAAAGAACCAGGGGTCCTTCTGTCCTGATGGGCAGGAGTCACCACTGCACAATACCAGCCACAAAGGCTGACAGCATTAGACACAACAGAGAGCAATCCATGTAATCATTTCCTTTCACTTGGCACTCATTACATGCACCCAGGAAGTAGGGGCTTCGAGGGAAGAGCTAACAGTATACCCCCAATTCACCAGGAAAACAACCCAGCAGGGAGAAGCTTTCACAGAGAGGTTGAGCAGTCTCCATCCTTGGAGGTTTTGAAGACGCACTGGGAAAAGACCTGAGGAACTCAATCTCAATTCCACACAGTCACTGCTTTCAGGGGAAGGTTATGCTTGTGGACCTCCCAAGGTCCCTTTCAACTTGAATGAATCTGATTTGTGTTTTCTGTCTTCCATTATTGTGATGCCACTGACAAGCAATATTAGGTGTCAGTTTTGTAGGAACACGGTCATGCTCTGTTCCTTTCTGCTGAGCTCTACTACCGTTTCTATTCTAAGCAGTCTCTGAACTCTCAAGTGAAAATTATTCTATTTATATTCATCTCAAAATGTTTAAAACATCAGTAAAAAAAACCCAAAAACTACTTACAATTTGAAACACAGATCTGAGGTGTAAAAGGAATACCAATGCTCTTATTTTTCTGGGTGGCAGGTGGGCACAAGTCCTATTTCCATTAAGATGTTAAAGCCATAAGCTTAAGTATGCTTCTTTTTTTTTTTTTTTAAATCATTTTGGTAAATGTTTTAATGGAGATATGTACAGGTAAAAGACATATTCAGATTTGGTTTGTGAAAGCAAGGAAGCCAAGTGAAGAAAAAAGAAACATTTGGTTACTCTGGTATTTAGTAACTGTTTGGTAAAGTTTTTTAATATGATCTTGAAACTATTAATTTAACAGATTTTTTAGGGGGAAAAAACATCTTCCCAGATAAATGGGAAAGAAACAACAAAAGTTACATTAGAAAGTAATTATCAGGCTTCGCACAACAGAGTACACAGACACCTTCTCCCTGTCATGAAGATCCACCATCTGTTTTCTTGTGTTTGCCATTCCCAAATCAGAAGACAAATTCTGCTCACTTTACAGCTAAAGTTCCTGAAATTAGCTTTTGACAAGCAAGAAATGTTAATAGGAAATAGTATCTGGGAGAAAAAGCTTCAATTAAGTATATCCTATTATTTGTATTGTGGCATAGACAGATCTTGGATGTAATCTTGAAATCCATGCCACCTCGGTACTGATAGTTTCTCAGAAAAACCACAGGAAAATTGAAGCTTCTGAGAGTCACACAGAGTATGACTGAATGGATTCCAAACTTACTAAAATACTGGTGTGGAATATAATGGTGGTCTTCTATTTTACAAAAATGTCACGATTAACTGTTGACCCTGAAAAGATAGGGAGGAGACAAGACACCGGTGCTTGTGGTAACGTGACACCTAGTGTTCGCTTCCAGGAAGCTTCAGTATTGCTGGGTGCCAGATGCTAAAGAAACATCAATGCCCCAGGACCTCTTTCCAAATTAATAAAAGGCAGATATTTGCATCAGCATGTCTAAGCAAGTGCCTATATCACACAGACACAGTGAAAACCGAGAGGAGGAAAGGAACAGAAAATCTGCTTGTGCTGCACTTGCCTTTCCTATTGAGTACACAGCTTGGGTAACTGCAGAGAAGAGTGCTATCCAAACAAGTTTCATGTTCCTGTATTTTTTTTCTTTGGGCTTCTGCTGCAAAAAAACCCTGTCTACCTATTGCCGTTTTTCTGGTTGTGCATGGAAGTTAATAGAAAACTGGATCTACTACATATATGCACAAGTTTAAGAGAAGAGTCCCTATGGGGAAAAAAAAAAACAACAAAACACAAAAAAGGTTTATTTATACATAGCAATGAGCTGTACATTTATTTCTTAACTTAAAATCATGGTGTAACAACAGTACAAGTGCCTGTTACGTTTTCATTCCCTCCAAGCTTCCAGCAACACAATGAAAACCAGAGTAACTAATGCATACTAGATCAATGAGACCATAAAATCTATGTAAGAACATGGCACAAGCACTCTAACATTGCAATTGCTAAGAGATATGACCCCTTGAGTATTTCCAAGGGCAAAGGTGGGAAAGGATTATATGAGAAATAAGAACAAAAAGTTCACTACAGATAGAGGAAACATATACAGATTTTTTAAATCAGATGAATAAGAATCCATGTCTGATAGTGAATAGGTGTCAGGAATTACACTGAGATTAGCAGAACGTAAGAGACAAGGTCTGATTGAAACTTCACTTCAGAACTGAACATAAACAACTGCGCTTCAGGAAGTTTATAGATACACTATGAGAAACATTCTTAAAAGATAATTAATGTTAAGAATACATGCATGCAAAACAAATTAGTATTCTATATCAAATCTAGCATTGTCTTTAATTTAGAAGTATGCTGAGTTATTTTCCAGGGAGTAGTGTTTAACTGTTATCCTTCTGAAGAGAAAAAAACCACACAGACAACACATCTATCTTTTTGTATTAATATTGTCTAGCTACCAGAATCCCAAGCAATTAATTTGACTCAGCAAGCAATATTTAGTAAACACTAAGTACTGTTATTATACCTTATTTCTGAGAAAAATGTGCACACAGTCAATACAAAGGTATTAAAATACACATTTTTCTTTTAACAAGGTAAACAGAACTATATTCCAATACTGCTAAATAACTCAAGAAGATGCAAGTCAAGCACTTGTCACACTGTGAATTATAAATCAAGTTCTTATTTTTCAATATATTTTGAGCATAATTTTCTCCAGAAGTTTAGTATGTGACATATCTGGGGAGCCAAACAATTATGAACTCACCTAAATAAATATCTGCCATAAGATGTCCATGCTGAACATTAGTCTAAATGGCTTTTTTACTAAGACTATATATTCATTTATTCTTTCAATCACATACCACTATTTGAAATAGCCAGGAAAGTGAGGCTAAATTTGTCTGTTGGAAACTGACAGTTTGCCAGATTCATAGCATTATTTCTCATTTGGGGTCAAGGTGAATTGTGTAGTCACATGCCTTTAGCTCCTATTGCTCTTGTCTAAAAGGTCAGGTCGCCATTCATGAAGTGTCTAGTTTGGTCCTAGGCAGAAGTCCCATGAGTAACAGCAGAAATGGCATGTCCTATCGGTGTTAAATGTACACATTTGACACAACTACAAGAATAACAGTCATACATTTCACCTAATGGTAGTGATTACCCCTCACCTTTAACGCTGAAATATCCTGAACTGCCATACAACCTACTCGGCTGTTAACATTTTAGATAATTGCTGCACAAATTATTTTTGCAGTTCCTGAACAGGTCTTACAAATTAAGAACTGTGAAACAACTTTCAAACACAGAGGATTCAACAGTAGGCTTAATTCCATTATTTCTTTTTGAATTATGGAAATTCTAAAAGCCCAAAGGTTAAATTTATGCATCTCCTTACACACAGTCAAAAGATAGATGCAAATACAGGCTGTGAAAGGTTCTCAGACAAGACAACAGATTGCTTCCACAGATTTATGTGAAACTGTCATACATGCTTATGACGTCAGGTATCCTCTACCCTTTTCTTCTACACTTGAATTTCCAAATATTACTTTTATTATTATGAATACAGAAGCTTGAAGTAGTTACAAACTCACTGTGAGGGAGGACGTGTCTCTAAGTCAGCTTTCATGCAGCTGAGGCACCTTCTAAACAACAGTGGATAAAACACCAAGAAGATAAACATAGTTTTTCCTTTAAAAATTGGAAGGCTGTGGTCACCAAAACAGCTCGAAGGACAATGCAAAAAAAAAAGTGTTTATTTTAGCACTGGTACACGTTTTATATAAGTACAATGAATAATTTTTTAGCTGGTGATCGAAAACGATTGCAACGAAGCTTCAACAAAACAACTTTACAAGCCAAAAAGAGCGGCATGTTAAACCACAGAACCTGTAATGATTTCTAAAGGTCCGCAGGGCAGACCTACTACATTTTATATAAACCAAGACAGCGGAGAACCGCCATCAGAGGGCATCATTCATGAATGATTTGCCAAATACGCTGCCGTGAAGTAGCAAGTTATTTTCTAACTCCCTAACGGGCTTCTCCTAAAAGTGCACGAGGTGCTGAATACATCCAAGTAGATGACTTCTTTTTTTTTTCTTTTTTTTTTCTTTTTTTTTTTAATTTATCATCTCAGGCTTGCAGCTGGGTTTGAAACTGAGTATTTCAACGCGGTCCCCGGGAAACTCGACCCTCACAGGGGAGCAGCCTGTCAGGGCGCGTTGAAAATCGCGGCGAGGATCCAGCGGGACACGTCCCGGCCGGCCGCGCTCGGGCCCCGGTGCCGCCCGGCTGCGGAGGGAGGCGGGATGGCGGCCGTCCCGTCTCGTCCCGTCCCGTCCCGTCCCGCCCGGGCCACGGCGGCAGCTGCGCCTCGTCCCCGCCAGAGCCCCTCCGGCAGCCCGAGCCCGCACCGCCCCGCTCCCGGTCCCGCTCAGGCGCCTCCCTCCCGCCCTCCGGGCAGCGCCGCCGCCGGGACCCTCCCCACCCCCGCCCCGCCGCGGGAGTTGGCACCGGGTCGGGCTGAGGGGGAGCGGTACTTGCCCAGGTGGGGACGAGGAGGCTGCCGGGCCGCTCGAGCGGTGCTGGAGGAGGCTGCTTCCCCGCCACGCTCATCTCCTCCCATGCAGCTGGCGTAGTCCTGTCAGACGGGCGGCTCGGCGGGACACGGCGCCTCCGGCACCGACTCCAAAGCGCCCGCCCCTCCCGGCAGCGCCGGCGTCCCGGCTCCGCGGGGCAGGCTGGCTCCGCGCTGCCCTCCGCCGCCCGCGGCCCGGGCGGGGCGGGGTAGGACGGGGGACGTTCGCCGAGGGCTCGGAGCCGGGAGGGTAGAGGAAGGCGGCGGCGTGGCGCTGGCTATTTAACTTGGCTCTTCGCCGGGGGAAGGTGCCGCCGTTCCCGTTCCCCTCCCCTCCGCGGCCGCATCCCGACAGCCGAGCTCTGGGTGATCCTGCGAGCGCTGCCGCGCTCCTCCCCGACACCGCAAGGCTCCGCTCTGCCCGCCCGCGCCGCCCCGCGGGGCAAAGGCGGGCGGGGGCTCCGGTGGGGCAGAGGGGCTGCTGCTGCTGGGGGAAGGTGGCCGACGTGGTGGGGCTGTGGTGCTCCGAGCGCAGCCCCCTCCTCTTGTCCGCGCCTGCAGCGGGCAGTTGTGTCATAAGCGACTGCCGCTTGGTTTTCTGATGGCCCTCGCTCGCTGATCTCTGAATCAAAACCAAGAGAGTAGTTTGGCATCCCTCGAGTATTCTTGGTACCTTCAGCATTGTGTAACACCTGGGAAGGAAAAGTCCCCTGTCCTAAGCATTGTAATGAGATTTTGCTCTTCTGTGAATCTTTAGCTTCCATCCAATTCCTGACGAGGGTCCTTGGCCCAGACTATCAGTTTTGTGGGAACTTCTTGCAGTCCATTAGTAGCAACGTTGAAGCTGATCCTAAGGCAGAGAAGGTCCCTTAACATACGACTTTATTAGCAGACATATATTTCTATTCTTAGGGAGAGAGAAGCTTTTTAATTTTTTTAATTTTTCCTATCAGTTGATTTAAAAATATGTGCTTCATGCACATACCTTTCTGGTTTTTTTACCTAAATGTAATTTGAAAAGGCATCTCTGTCCCTTTTGATGCCTTTACCTTTGTCATGCACAGATAGATAACGAGGTATGACTGGAGTTAATTAGACTTTTTATAAAGATAATTTTGGAGTTGGGGCTTTTTTCCTTGCTAAAGTGCATGAGTAAAGCAGGAAAGAAGCACGCATCATCTTTTTCTTGGAGGTAAATCCATACAAAATATTGTTCAGGGCCCTGCACCTGTGCTTGACTTGTTTTCTTTACCATGCACCAAGGTGTAGAGTTTGACATGCAGCAAGGGGTCGATGCCGTTCTGCTCAAAAGCTGGAGTTAGTACTCAAGCCAATCTGCCCCAATCCATTCTGTGTGTAAGAAGGCATTCATCTCACTCCGTGCCTGTAGAAAAGTGCGTGCCAACACACCAGAGTGTGAAATGTTTGAAAAGATCAGACTGGGGCACTGCCTCGCATGACCATCCAAACTTAGGTGCATGCAGACACTGTGAGAGGTTAAGAGTCTGCTTCAGGCTAAAAACAATCAAAGAAGACAAAGCCACACATGAGAGCTGCATTTACTTTGGAGGTGGACTGCTCCAGGCTCCATGGGAGTTGCCAGGATAACAGCAGTAGTCCCGGTGGGTATTTGGTAGTATGGATAATAGTTTTCTTGTGATTACAAACTTGTTACCTCATCCGGCATTGCCTCTCATGGTTCTTCATCATAAATACGGTACATAAGTGGGGATTAAAAACTGGAGATGCAAGTTAGTGTAAACATAGAATAAATAGCATAGCTGTAGGCTAATGTACAGGGAATACATATGGGAAATTACTTACAGAGATAAATAAAATAGAAAGAATTTATTTTATAGAATGTTTCTCTTTACCTACAAGCTGTGCTTTTTAAATTTAAAAAAACATTGTCAGTGGATATAATTAAGCCTTGTACACAATATATGACTTCCTGAGTGGCATATCTTAACACTGACAGTTATATAAATTATTTCTGGAATTCTTAAAAAACTGGATAGAATCAGCCAAGGAACTATTAATGTTAAATTTCTTTTTGGAATTAATAAGTGCCCTTCACTGAATTATATATTCCTGTGGTATTGCTGTACTGAATGTAAGCAGGTACATATAATTTGGAGAAGGATTAAGAAAAACTAAATATTTTTTACTTAAGTTGAGCTAAGCCAATTTGTGATAGCTTCATCTAATGCTTTATTTCAGGGGCTGATCAGGTTTAATAGCTTAAGAAACCCATGAGCTTCTTTAGGAGTTGATGTCTTGTCCAGTTTGTTGCTAGTTGAAAGCATGTATGCATTTTTCCCTTTCTTCTTTTTGTACTTTTTCAGTTTTACTGTATCTCTGATCCTGAAAAATCTTTTGTTTTTGCCATTTCTGAAATAAAGCAAATGGAAGCTAGCAGTCACATAGCTATTTTAGTGATGATACTTTTTGTTTTTCTAGATTACATTAAATCCTATAATTTGAAAATTACATCAAAATCTACAAAATATCAAGAAAGTAATCATGCAAAGAGATGGCAGTTCAAGACAATGCAGAATGTTTTTAATGACTTAAAGCCAAACTCATTATTTTGGGGTGTTACATTAGATAATTGCTAAGATGTTTCATTCAGATCTGACTTGGCTCACAATAGGAAAATCAAAAATTGTTCAAAAGATTTTAATAAAATCAGCATGCATGAAAACAGATGCAAACTGTTCAATCTGGAAAATATCACATTACAGACCTGTCTTTATTTCCTTCTGTTTTCATATACATGCTTTGCATTTGTACATACAAGCACACATACAGAGATGATACATGTGAAGGATCAGAAATAGATGGAAACAAAAGACTATTAGCACTAAAACAATAAATAATTTATTTTACTAAGATGTCAAGGACAAAGACTTTTTTTGGAGAAGTGAATGGAAGAGTGTAATTTGGTTTTCCAGGAAATGTAGGTATGCAAACATTAAAACTTAGCTCTATACAAAAATCTTCACAAAGCTGTTGAAGTCAATTTGTTGTCTTAATACAAACTCTAGTATTTGCAGATGCCATTTTACTTTTTAGATATTAATATTTCCTGTATGTTAATCAGGAAGGAGGCCTTTTGTAAAACTTAATTGCTTTGTGAACTTCATTACACCTAATATTTTACTATGAAAATAAATGATCTGTCATTTAATTTTGTGCTGTGGGAAGACATCAAAAGAATGGGGAAGCAAAGAGTACTTTTGAAAGTACATTGGGTTTGCATGGCCAAGCTTTGGTAGTGCTGGGGGCTACAGGGGTGGCTCCTGTGAGCAGCTGCCAGAAGCTTCCTCTATGTCCAGCAGAGAAGATGCCAGACAGCTCCAGGATGGACATGCCCCTGGCCAAGGCTGGGCAGAAATGGTGCTAACAACTATGAGATAACAGAGTTAAGAAGAAAAAGAAAAGTGATTGTGCAGGTGTGATTGTGGCCAGAGCAGAGCAGGATGAGAACATGTGGGCAGAACAGCTCTGCACACACCAAGGTCAGTGCAGAAGGAGGGACAGGAGTTGCTTCAGGCACCAGAGCTGATTCCCCTGCAGGCAGTGGTGCAGCCCAGGTGAGGCAGCTGTGCCCCTGCAGCCCCTGGAGATCCACGGGGGATGCAGAGATCCACCTGCAGCCCCTGGAGATCCACAGGGATGCAGAGATCCACCTGCAGCCCATGGAGGGGACTCACGCCACAGCGGGTGGTTCAGAATGCCTGAGAGGAGGATGGGGGGGAGGAGGTAGAATTGGAAAGAAAGGAGGGGTCAGGGGAAGGTGTTTTTAAGATCTTATTTTACTCTGCATTATCTTGCTCTGATTTTGTTAGTAATAAATTTAATATCTCTAATTGGCATCTGTTTTTCCTGTGACAGTATTTGGTGAGTGATCTCTCCCAGTCCTTATCTCGACCTATGAACTCTGTTATATTATCTCTCCCCTGTCCAGCTGCAAAAGGAATGAGGGAGCAGCTTTGGTGGGTGCCTGGAATTCAGCTAGAGTCAACCAACTACAAAAAGAAGTTTCTGACTTGGGAATTGTAGTTAAGGCATTGTAAAAATACCAAATGTCCCAAGGAGACTGCTGCCTATCCAGATAAGGATGCTGCCATTTAGCCACCAGTATTTTCCAATTTAGGAGGAGTAAGGAAGGCACTAGTATGATGACAATCAACCTTAGATCCCTTATCTCAATCTGCTCTCCATTTGCTACTTTTATTGTGTCAAGCTGAGGAATAAGGGGTAAATTACAAGAAATAACAACTGGACAGCCTATCAGAGGACAGTAATGTTTGAGTCTTCTTAAAATAAACACTGGTAAATCACTAAATTTTCATGGATATATTCTTTTGCTTCAAAAGACCAACATACTCTTGCTCTCCCAAAACTATAATGTGCATATACCCTGTCAAATACCCTGTATATTTTCCCAGAAATTTCTTCAGTTCATTGAGTTGGGTAAAAAACTGTAAATGTACATATGGCAGTAGCATATTGGAATAAAACACTGAAATTGTCTGTAATATTAAAGGAATGGAAGAGATTAATGTATTTCAAAGAAACCAACAAAAACTTTCCTTGAACAACTGTACATTGAGAAAGGGTGATTGAAATAAGCGTCTCATCCTTTGGGACAGGCAGCTGAGCAACATGTGGGAGAGACTTTTAACAAGTATGCTGAACTGTCTTTCTCCACCCCTTACTGAGGCATAGGTTATGTTACATGTTACCAGGGCACCCAGCTGCCAAATTTAAGGATTGGCTAGGGCAAGCCAGTACTGTTTTGGTGTCACTATCACAGGAGTGAGTATTCACTGCATCAATCAGGAATTCAGCATCCCAGGCTATTCAAGGGAGCAACTCATCACTGCTGTCCTGAGCAAGCTATTACAAAAGATGATCAAAAATGGGTAACTGAGTGACTGGACATCTAAAAGATGTGTTCCCAGTGAGTGTTTATAGAGGAACATTGAATTGATCAGTATGTGTTGTTCACAATCAGACAGTTTTGATAACA